ACTGGGCGGGACTGGGAGGACCGGTCGACCGTAAGCAGATAGGCCCGCCGAGACTGGCGCGAAGGGCTTGACTGACAAGAAACGGGACCCGAAACGAGGGCCCGATGTTGTGAACGACGAGTAGAGCTAGCGCACAGTGAGGGAACCGGGTTGAACCGCCGTAGGACGCGCCACGACAACCGAAGTGCCGGCCTGATCGCGTTTTCTTTTTGGCGCTGCTAGGGGATTATAAAATGAGGTGTTTGAATGCCGGCCAAATTCTCCTTCAAGAGCTCGCCCTGCTAATCTGGTTGTCGGGACTGGGGTTCCCTCTAAGTATGCGGTCCCCCCCCTAAGTATGCGGTCCCCGACAACGGATTCAATTCCTTCTTATTGGGTCAACGGGGCACGGATTTTTCGGACTAGATTCATTCAAGAGAAGCCCTTAACCGAGTTCAGTAAGTACACTAAAGCGCTGCTGAACGGTTTGCTGGTCATGGATGTGTAGCCGGATGCCGAGATGGCACGACCCGGTCAGACCTACTCCGAGTCTCTCGACGTGCTAGAACCGTTCGCGAAATTGATACTGTCCAGCGAGCTTATTGAGTCCTGTGTCTTGGGGACCATTGCTAAATTCCTAATGACGCTCAACATGGTGGCCAGGGAACACCCCCTCTCATGCGGCCTATCCACACAGCAACAAGAGTACGTCCGACGCTGGGTGGACGAGTACGGTGACCTCGCATCCGTACAGAACATCATCCCTATGCGTTTGGTTAAACCAATACCAGACTCCCTCGAATTCCTTGCTAAGACCTACGACAAAATCTTGGGCCCTATCAGCGTCGGCACTCTCGGCTGTTGACAACGAGGGACATCCCGCACGACCTTCCTCCTACGCTTACGACAACTGTTACCATAACCCGCAAGGGTGTGTCAGACACTCGCCTAACGACAGGGTTGCAATTTGTGCTTGATGGTAGTAGGGGCGTGTTATGTAGTACTTCATTAGTATTATCAACCTAGTATGCCAACGCTACGCTCTTCCTCAATAACGGCCGCACCCACTCGCGAGCGTTGGTTCCCGGCCTTGGAAGCGGCCTTCTTCAGTTGACCCTTCAGGATGCGGCCAACTACCAGCACGAATAGCACCTGCCTACCTGTCGACGACCTCTGCAATGGGGGTCGTGTCACCTTAAGGCAGGTCGAGTTATGCCTTCAGATAGGCCTTAGGCATTCGAACAACGCCACGTCGGTTCGATTCCCTTCTCCGCAAAAACGATTTTTTTTTTATACAGGCGTCGAGTTGCCCATACAAACCCTTGTCAATTCGTCCAGGACGCGCATCTCCTCATAGGTCTGCCCCAGATGAGCCGCTTCCCACACACAATTTTCCGAACGACGTGCTACAGTGGGTCGCTTAACAGCCTCGATCTCGCTTAGTGCGGTTTTCGCCTTCGTCCAGGCGGCTGCGTCTGGACACACCCCCGGTCTGTACCACGCCACGCTGCTCGTGCGATCCCCCCCATTGATGGCGCATCGAGTGACAACTGAAAAGCCGAACTCGAGGTCTTCGATTCTCGCAGCGTTCGTCTCAAATTGTGCTTCTGGTACTATCTTGTTTTCATAATAAGCAATTGCCACTCGCTCAACCCAATCATTCAATCGGTCCTTCAGCTCATCCTTCAACTCGCACGACTTCCGTTTTGCTACTTGTGCAAAAGCACACAGGCATCCATGTAGAGATATCAACACGTTCCAACAAAAATCATTGTTAGCATTAAATTCGTTGTGCACTTCTTTCAGCTCCTCAGCGGATAGGTCAACGTACCCCACGTTCTTCAGCCCTATTACCATATCCGGCATGTCTTTGAGGATTCTACAAGCTTCAACTACCAGTCTGGCTGGGTGGTCGTCCGAGGGCTTGGCAGCGTCGTCCGGCAGAGCCAACGACTCAAAGGCCTTCACCATATCCACATTCTCACCACTCACGTCCATGGTTATCATCACCCTTGCTAGCGCTTGAGTCTTGGCTCCGCTCAGAACTTTCACACCACGCGAACACTGCATTGATAAATTCGGACCTTTTTTTTTGGGGCGAGGGGTTTGCCGTGTTGTGTCCTTGTGTGCCAGAATTTCACAGGGGGGGACAAACAGGGGGAGAAAGACTGCCGTTGGCTATGTGAGTAGTCCATGGTGGGTTGGGGTGTCGGGGCAGCAGGGGTGTCGGGGCAGCAGGGCTGCCCTTGTCCCTGGGTTCGGCATCACGTTGCTGTTGATGGCCGTGCTGTTCGGCAGTTGTCCTTCCATTTGTGGGTATTAGTCATGGGAGTGAGTTGTGTGATCAAGATGTGTTTAGACATTTCTTCTGAGATCGTTTTGTTTCTGGACGGCTCACGCCCCTCCTATCTCAGATGGAATTTGGAGCTTGCCTGGGTCGGCGAACACCACCACGATATCTCCTGCTTGTAGGTACGGCGCGGCGGTCTAGTGCTTACATCCCAGCTGGTACGTTACCCTTGCGCGGAAGGCTCCTCGGAAGCTGAATTCAATGTTGGAACGATCATCATATGTCGGGTCGCGTGGTCCTTGATGACGAGGATATTCCGACGAGGATATTCCAGTCGAAAACCCGATATATGATGGCCGAAATCGTCTCCCGCGTGTATTGGTCCCACGTGGTCGGTGATACGACGTCCATGGCGGCTGCCTTTCCCAGCGTCGCTGTCGGCAGTCTCGCGCAGACGAGGCACTCTCTGATAATTTTTTTGTGGTCGCAGTCGGGCCAGTAGTATAGAGGTTGTATCCCCTTGCGGGTCTTGACAACTCCCAGGTGGCCGCTCGGAACGAAGTGGAATGCGATGACCAGTCCTATGCGCAACTGGCCGGGGACGTAGATCTTCTTCGTCCTGAGATGGATCCAACCATAGACCGTTGTATAAGTTGGGGTTCCCCTCCTCGGTGTATGCTTTGACGAAGTCTTGTTTTGTCGGGGGCGCAGGGAGGTTGAGCAGTCGGGTGCCCACCCAGTTGCGACCTCAGTATCAACTCATCGCCCTTTAGCTCCTCGCTAGAGATTAGCACAGTATCCACCCGACGGTCTCTGGTAGCCAACGTCGCCTTGAATAACGCTTCCTGGTAAACAAGCCGGTGTCTCGTTGGACTACTGTCGTGCCGTCCTGTTTCGCTACTCCTGGTTCTAGCTCCAAGGGGGGTCTTATTTGGTCGTGCTGCGTAGCTTCGTCATGCCGCAGGTGGTACTTCGCCTCTACTCTTGATCTGCGGCTCTACACCACGGCTTCTCGACCTCGTTACATGGAACCGTGACGTCTCGGACGTCCTCAACTGTTACTGCGCCCAACCGTCTAGTCCGTGCATACCCGGGCCAAGTGTTTTGGCTGCCCTTACTGGTAGCACTTGCATTTCGTTCTTGAGATCCAGCAGCGATGGTTTGGGCTGACCCATTCGCCGCACTGTTGGCACTGGGTCAGACGTACTGTAGGTGGTCCATCAGCTGGCGGTGCGTGCCGTAACGGTTCCTTCCACCGCCCTAGTCGCCGGCCCCTCAACTGGTACCCTGCTTTGCTCTACTGGATGAAGACCACTCTTCACCCATTTGTAGGCCTTCTTCAGTTGGCCCTACGTGGCCAACTGCCGGCACCTACCATGTCAGTACGTCGGTCCATAGATCCGCCCACGCTCGGGCGGATCCAGCAGCTGTCGCCAAGTAATATGTAAACGCGCTTAAGTCCGTTGCTGCTATCTTCGCTTGCTTCTCTATCTCTGTCAAAAAGGTTTTTACCCCTCTTCTGCGTACTCCCCAAAAGGCCCCATCTAAACCACAAAAAAAGTTCGATGCCTGTTACGTCCTAGGGTGGGTGCGCCAGCTTTTTACTTTGGGATACTTTACACCGTACCAACCAGTGACCGTTTCGACCGCAATTCCAGCACTTGTTGTCTTGACTCGGACAAGCCTTCTTCTGGTGGCCACTACGACCGCAACTCCACACCCCTTCGAGCCCTTGGCAGAGCGATCCCGGACCGCGTCCGATCTCTCCATGGGCCACCTCATAGCCGCCAACACAGGAGGGGCTCCTCGCTCACTCAGCGGCGACAACTTCCGCAGAGCTCCGAGAAGTGATCTGCGCCACGACCTCAAGGCCTGGTGGAACGCCTTCGCCCAATCGTCCTTCGTGTAGGGCAGCACGTCAGCTCCGACCCGGTGGTAGTGCCCCACGCGCTGCGAACTGATGTGAGCTACCAGGCAGTGTAGCGTGCAGCCGGAGACGTCATACCCCTCACGCCGACTCGGGGAGTAAATCCCGTATCGTTACCGGCGTTCAATGAACATGGCGGATGATCTAGTAATATTGGGATACCGTTTTGCGCCAACGACATTACGTATACCAGAGGACAAGGCAGAAGAAACTCGCCGGCGACTGAAAGGACTGATGTAGACATGGCGATCCCGTTCGCACACGCCAAGGACGCGAGGATAACGATCGTAACGGACAATTTACGACCCTGGCACGCGTTAAGACGATGTGACGCGCGCGCCGAGGAACGACTTGGCAGTGTATGCAGCGAGAATTAGAGCTATGTACAGGGCTGAGTATCATCACATTCCCGGGGCCCAGAACCCTCTCAGAACTCTCATTCTCTTTGGCAGCGAGTCTTCCTCTGTCGAGCACAGGTGACACTCCGCTTGACAGTAGTTGTCACCCCCTTCTACTGGGGTGGTCAGATGGAGAACCACTTTGGGTGTGGGCTGAAAGTAAACATCTTTACGACTAATCCATCTGACTGTTGTGATGATGCGTTTCAGACTTCCGCCCCGCTGCCGTACGTTGAGTATCGTGGTTCGAAGGGGCAGTTGGTGGACTTGCCGGGGCGGGACGCGGCGGCGTACGGACGCGGGTTGGCGGCGCCGGGTAACCAAACGAGGACTTCCATGGATTTTATGAACGCTCTGGTCAGAGCTCTTGAGCTGCACAGATTACCCGCCGGCGACATAACCCAGTCTAAGTAGGGGCCCATGGCTGCTGCGACCGGGTTGCGACCAGCGATAACAACCACGTCTGCTTAGGACGAGGGGTGGGCCGTCGAGTTGGTCATAGCTGCTCGGCCGTTGTGTCGGGCCAATGCAGAATCGATTGTTACGGGGGACGGGGGAACTAATTTCGGCACTTCCAACATTCAACCTCTGACTGACAACTCACTGGCGGTAGTTGCTGGACGGTCAGTGACGAGGACACAGTGAGGGAACCGGGATGAATCGAGATTGTTCTGCGCGCCGCGCGGCGCACGTCATCCGAGCTACTACTGCCAGGGAATAATCCGTAAACCGGACATTATTGAATCTGAGCCGCAAAAAGCTGAAGGTCGTTCTTTCGTACGTCTTCCCCACTTTTGGGACATGGCAGAGCTTGAGGACGGAATACAAACACGCGCGTGTGTGTGACAAAGACGGGAACATCTTTTAACCAAATCAATACTACAGACATTAACCCCCAATACGAACTTCCCACCGCAAATGGCCGGGAACAGATATTAATATGTTCCGAAATTTCTTCCCGCCACTGGGGAAGAACTCCGGCGTAGGTTTGTTGGGCTCTCCGCCACTGGGAGAGGCCTTGTAGGAAGGAGGGAGATCTCTTTGGGTTGGTAGCATTTTCTGGGGTCCCTGGTTTCAACCCCTGTAAAAAACGTCTCTCCCCAGTGATGCGCTCGTTTCTTAACGCACGCTTTCCGAGGTCCATGTCACCTCGTGTCCAGCAGCGGACATACCTCCTCTTGTCATTCCGCCAACCATTCTGTTCACCTTGAGTTGGCGTAGTTGTGTACTGCGGGTAACGGTATTGAGGCAGTTAGTAGTATGTTGTCTGCTTGTTTGAGTACAAGTCCCGCAGCTGTGTTCGAGGAGTCTAGGTATAGTTTGAGTGGTTCCCCGGCTGATGCGGAGAAGGTCTTCTTAGGTTTAACAGCCAAAGCTTTAGTGTATACGGTCAAAATGTCTGAGTCTTTAACCTTGTTAGTTAGTAGTTTGCGTATGGTAAATTGTTGGCTTTCGGATAGTGTGTGTTTGTAGTAGGAGAGCGTTTGGGCAGCTCTTTTGATTAGATCTAGATTGTTTGAGTTGAGTAGTTCCTCTATTCGTTTCCATTTCTGTTCTGGTATTGACAGTTGGTGGTTGTTTAAAGTATACCCTAGTAGGTCTGTACAATTAAGCTGGGATTTGAGTTTGTTGACTTGGAAGTTGCATTTGATTAGGTAGTCTATGGCTTTCTGGTAACGCTGGCGTAGTTGCTTTGAGTTAGTGGCAGAGATGAAAATGTCATCCTGGTACTATCTAATGTCGTTGGCGAATGGTAATTTGGCTAGTATCTTTCCCATTACAGCATGAAAGTGTTTGGGGGCATTGGTAGCTCCCATTGGCATTGTCGTATAAGCATAGTATTGGCCGTCGATCTGGAATGCGTACGCCCCGACTTGGTCGGAGGCTAGCGGTATTGAATGGAATGCTTTGGTCAGATCGATCTTGGCTAGATACGCTTGCTGCGCCGCCCATGCCACTATGGGCCAGCAACTTTGAATGTTAGGGAATCCGCCGTCTGTGGTAATGAATGGTAGCAGTGGGCGACAGTCATGAGTTACGCGTTCGTTAACGATACGCGCGTGTAGTGTAAAGTTAGGTTTGTGGTTTAGCTTCGTAATCTTGCCTTGGTTCAATAGATCGTCGCGCCATTTTCGATAGATCATCAGTTGTTTAGTTGTCGTTGGTAGTCTTCCGTGATATACAGGTAGGTTGTTCACGTTTAGTCTTTCACTGAACGGAAGGACATCAATAGATTGTCTTGCACAATCAAGGCCCCTTTTTTTTTCCTTTTTTTTTTTTGTAATAGATCTTCTCACCCATCCACGCTTCCGCCCGTGCTTCCCATGGCCCTCGCCTTCATGATTCTAGCAAGTTGCGGTGTGTCGAGCAGCTTGTCCTCTTTTGACGACGGAACTTTGGCTTTTGAGAACTCGGCACTTGCGGTCGTCCCACGGTCCCTTACGCAGGCAGGATAGTTGGATACCCCTCTGGCCAACGCCAGCTGAGACTTGTCCTCTCTACAAATCTCTCTGCACAGATACTTAGCTTCCATACCTAAGATCAACTGTATGGTGTCTTCAGCACACATGTGTCTCCCAGTTCTCAATACATCTCTTTGCCAGTGTCTATGGGACACCAGTCGATCGAGGTCAGCTTTCGAAGGAGCCGATTTCTTCTTTCGATTCAAACAACCTTCAGCAACTCTCATCCCGGATTCGGTGATGTCAAACGTGTTGTCAGCTATCTCATACACTCCCTCCACAGTCATCAGAGCTAACCCGAGCAGCCTTATTCTGAGAGGTATGTCCGACTGCGGAAACCCACTGTTTTCCGCAAAGTGAGGGTGAAAGTAAAAGCTCCTGTGGGTGCTGAGCCACTGTAGAAGCTTTCCGAGGTTGGGATGCACACCTCCAAGCAAGATCATACCGTCATCAACCCTATCAATGACATTCGCCCATTTGTGCCCGGCCATCTGTTTAGTGAGTCTACCAGCTATCGCCGCTGGGCAGTCCAGCACTGCCAACATTGCAAAAGGATGGGGGCCTGTGCAAGGGATCATGGTGGTGATCTGCTTGATCCTGTCATTGTCGCGTCCACCGGCCAATCTTTTTGCTGCGTTTGGCAAGAACATTTCCTGTGAGTCACGCATGGTCGACATTATCGGGGTGGTTCCTGTGTGGCAATACGTTATGGATATAATCGTCACACCCAATGCTGCTTCTGCGGGGTCAATCTTGGCAGAGTCTGGAGTAGGCGGCACTTGCGTTTTTACTATAAACGTGTTGTCCCTCTCCAGGACACGATACACTACTTGGCTATCGAAAGTAGACAGCCCCATGTTTGAAATTTGCTTTACTGACAATCCGTACTTCACATCTTTTTGCGACGTTCTGAATATGACGGTCGCGAGGTCGATTGATCCGGAGATGTCTGGCTGTGGAACCGCTTGGATGATTTCCGCTAGCGGAAGACCTTCACACAGAGTAATCCACGATTGGAACCGTCCGGCAGACCCGCGATAGTATAACTTTGTCACTTCTTCTACGGTACTATCTCCGCAGGTTGTCGCCGCCAACACCGAGATGGCTTTATCAATGGCAGACAGTTCATCAGTGCGGCTGCTGGGCACTTGGTTTGTCGCTGCTTCTTGACGATCGACTGCTTTTGAAGATGGCTTGTCCTTAGTTATGGTCTCCCTGGATGTTTGGAACGCCGCTCCTTGATATTCAGTTTGGTCGTCGTCTTCCTGCTCGGTGTCAATCTTTGCTCGTTGCACAGCGCCAACATCCAGCACTGCCATCTCTTCTGCAGTAGGATCAGGCAAAACGTCAGTGGCACCCCCTAACAGTGCTTGATTTGTTTACTCTCTCCAAAAACAAACCCTAAAAACCTAACAACTATGTGTCCTCGGGGGGAAGCAGGACGTCGGAATCGACAATCCAGTGCTTCCAAGTCCTTCGAGTTCGCTGATCCTCTTCTATTCGCTGCCATACTTCTCTTAACTAGTTCCCCGCTGGCGTAGTCGTTGCACAACGCCGCGTCCTTTAACCCTTCGTTCACTGCGTCGAATGCCCGCTGCTGCTCCATCCCCCATGCTGCTCCATCCCCCATGCGTAGGGCTCCGTTCTTCTCATGAGTTTCGTGAGCGGCTGCGTCACTTCGGCGTAGTTCGGAATGAAGTTCCTGTAGTACCCGGCGATCCCGAAGGCTTGTCGTAGCCCTTTTACGTCCCGAGGTGGCTGTAGGGCGTCTATTGCTTCCATCTTCCGTGGCTGGGGGGCTATTCTACCCTCGGTAATCGTGTGCCCGAGGTACTCAACCTGTTCCGGTAAGAACGAACCGGAGCTTCAGACCACTTGCTCGGAGTCTCTTCAGCACCTCTTCCAACTTCACAAATACTTCCTCTAGGGTCGCTGCGTGGATTAGGATGTCATCCAGGTACACGAGTACCCCGTTCCAGTAGAGGTCCCCGAAGAGGCTCTCCACCATCCTTTGGAACGTCGCCGGAGCGTTCACTAGGCCGAACGGCATCACGACAAACTCGTATAGTCCTGAGGGTGTCCTAAATTCCGTCTTCGGAATGTCCTCTGCCCTCATGGCTACTTGCCAGTACCCGACTCGCAGGTCCATTGCGATGAACCACCGCGAACCTCTCACCGCGCGCAACAAGTCATCTATCCTCGGTACTCGTCCCGTACTGTCACCTCGTTCAACGGCCGCTAATCCACACAGAACCGCCACTCGCCAGTCTTCTTCTTCACTAGCACAACCCCCGACCCGTACGGACTGAAGCTTGGTCAGACCACTCCCTTCTGGATCATATCCGCTACCTCCTTCTCTATAACCGCCTTTTGCTGATCCGTAGACCTGCGGGTGCGGCACGCAATCGGCCTCGAGACGAGATAGGGCGGACAACGGCGATAGAGCACCGGATCGAGGGGTCGCACCGGTGCTCTATCACCGTTGTCCGCCCTATCTCGTCTCCTTTCCACAAGTCCTCGAACTTCGTGAGGACCTTCCTCAACTCCGACTTGTCGATTTCGTTGACGTCACACTTCCGCAGGGCTTCCTCCAATACCGGATCCACCATCCGTACCTGTATCCTGTCCACGGCCCCGTTGACCCTAACTAGATTATGCCATTTTTCGTCCACTAATATCCGTCGTCCTTGGATGTCTATTACTGCCTCGTTCCCCTCCAGGTAAGGCATTCCCAATATGAGCTGGCCGGTGCCCCGTACCACTACCCCCACTACTTCCTGCTTCTCACCGCCCCTCACGTTAACCTCGATTTTGCCTCATGTGGTGCACTCCTCGTGTTCCCGTCGGCGAAGGTTAACCGGAGGGGACTCCCCTCTGCTGGACGGGGGTTAAGTCCTTGTCCAATGATGCTAACCTCTGCCCCTGTATCGGGGATCCAGTAGCTGTCGCCAGATAATATGTTCACACTCACTTTCCGAAGTCCATGTCACCCTTTATTAGTTCTCCTTTTAACGTCTTTACTGTTCTTTTGGTTATCGCCCTCGCTCTCCCAAAAAAAACGCCGGGGGGGGGGGGATGGCGCCAGCTTTCACTTCTGACACATTACGCTGCAAACGCGCGCGCGTTCTCCCAAATATGCCCGACGTCTTTTATGTCCCAAAAGGACGTTCGAACTGGGACTAACTCAGACGAGAAACAGCACTAGCGATTCTCCCATTTCAGGAGAATCCTTGGCAGTACCTTTTTTACGCGAGGTTCTGGTCTCGCGGCCTTTGAGGAACGGAAGAATTATTTATTCCTCTCGGGACATAATAAAATGAAGTGTTTGAACGCCTGTCCAAATTCTCCTTCAAGAGCTATCTGGTTGTCGGGACTGGGGTTCCCCCTAAGTATGGGGTGCCCGACAACGGATTCTTCTTGTTGGGTCAACGGGGCAAGGATTATTCGGACTAGATTCATTCAAGAGAAGGACCTTTGCGAGCTAGGGTCGTCCGCCCGAGCGTTGCTGCGCGGTTTGCTGGTCATGGATGCGTTGCCGGATGCCGAGATGGCACGACCCGGTCAGACCTACTCCGAGTCTCCCGACGTGCTAGAACCACTCGCGAAAATGATGTTATCCAGCGAGTTTATTGAGACATGTGTTTTGGGGACCATCACTAAATTCCTTTGGACGCTCAACGTGGTGGCCAGGGAACAACCCGTCTCATGCGGCCTATCCACACAGCAACAAGAGTACGTCCGACGCTGGGTGGACGAGTACGGTGACCTCGCATCCGTACAGAACATCATCCCTATGCGTTTGGTTAAACCACTACCAGACTCCCTCGAATCCCTTGCTAAGACCTACGACAAAATTTTCGTTGCTCGGGACGCTGAAACAGGAGACGAGGTCTCGTTCCCATTTCCCTAACCGACCATTCTTTTGACTTTTTTCGTTCAAACCGCGACGTGTACTAATCGGTTTTAAGCAGCCACAAAAAACCATACACTGCGCTACTCGGCGGGCAACCCGACTACCAGGTCATGAGGCAATCAATGCCTCAAAACGATATATGTACGAATGGACGATGACCTGGGACAAGCAGAGCTGGCTGTGAAATATGCGACTGCCAACTCGGGGACGAGCTCAAGAAGCTTATAACCTTCGCGCACTACAAAGCTGTCTTTGGCCCCAGGCCTCAACCGGTGTTCAGATACTGTTGGTATAGATACTTCGGAGCGCCGGTAGCCGTGTTGACTGACGGAAGTGCTAAGTTCAAGGGAGAGTTCTTCGACCTGATTTGGAAGTGTGGGAAGTATAGGCTGCATGTGACGGCTCCGTACCAACCACAAAGTAACGGTGTTAACGAGTCTCACTCCGGCCACCGTGGGCGAACGCTCTCTTGTCAGTAACCACTGCAGCCACCACGAAGCGAGTTGCATGACCACTACCAGATAGTAAACTTCTCCAGCAACAGTCCTCGGCCCAACCAAATTCCCCAATCAAATCCAGTGAAACTCACTTATGAAACAGTCTCTGCAGGGTCCCTGGCTTCGACACAGCCACTGGTGCGCTAAACAAACGACGACAGAGTAAACAGCCTCGACAGGAGTCCTCCACGTCCTTCGTTATGCCCGACCACCAAAAGTATTTTGCTGACTAGCCTCAACATCATTTTTATCCTGAGATGTCCTCTAACTCGTCCATAATGATGACCATCGGCACATAAACTCTACCAGTGTGATTCCTCACCCACAGCCCATTCGGTGTTCTATGGATGTGCTTCTGCGCACTTTCGTCTTCTTCAGCTAACCTCTTCAACCTTTCAATCAGAGGCACCGGCATGCCCTGGTCTTGTCCTTTCTCTGCACAGCACGCAGTTGTTAACTCCGGGTTCAACTGCATACGGTCTACCAACGTATCATAGCACCAGTCGCTGCATCACTGAGGTCGGATGTGAGTACGAACTCTCCAACATCTGCCGGCGCTGCGAGCAACACACGCCCAGTCACGGACCTCTTGATGCTCTGAAATTCCTGTTCCCGTTCCTCATTCCAAACGAACTCGGCCTTCTGCTTGAGCAAGTCGGCGGCAACTCCACTTGCGAACCGAGGAAAGTGTCTTTCGAGGTAAGTTACAGAACATAAAAACGCCCTCAGCTCCCTTTCAAAGACGCGATCCATCACCCGCTGAAATAGGATAGGTGAATTCTTAACACCGCGGTGTACTCAAATGTGCCCCTATGGGACACAAACGCAGCAAACTGTCGACTTTCTGCCCCCCGGATTACAGTCTAGACACCCGTAATACTTGTGACCGACCGCCAGTTGTAGGTGCTCCCAAAGCAAAGGTATCGGGCAGCCCCTTAAGGTCATCCCTTTGTTTAACGTTCGGTAGATTCTCCACTCACCCGTTTTCTTGCGTGCAAACACCGGCCTCGCTCCCCACGACGAATTACTAGGTTGTATTACGCCCATGCTCAACATGTCGTCTATCCGCTTATCTAGTTCGCAATTTCGGCCATAGCGGCCTCAACGCGTGCTTCAGCGGCTTCCCGTGCACTTCGAACTCTACGCTATGCCGTCTTCTTGGTCGTAACCAACACTTCGAGTGTTTCTGCAACGAGTCCCGAGGCCTCTCTCTGACGGGAACGTCTAGATGGGACGTCATACCCGTTACCAGCTCGTTTGCACTTGCCAACAAGTCTTCGTCTGACCTCTCCTCCTCCACTTGCGAAACCGAGTTAACCTTATAGCAGTCTCCACCCGGCGGTCTTCTGCCAACGTCGCCTTGAATAACGCCACTTGCTTCCTGGTAAACAAGCCTCTGATGGCAGGAGCGCCACCCTCCTCTAGCCCCACGTGACGAGCGAGGTCGGTACTCACGATAGACATTGTTGCGCCCGTTCAGCATCACTCCCTTCGTGACCCTCGCAGCTCCTAACTTGTCTCAAACTTGGCCACTTCCACTATCCATTACCGCGTCTGGTGGAGCACTTGTTTTTCGGCGTTGCTTGTCGACTGTGCGCTTCTTCTCTTCCAGCTGATTAATTTTCGTTGGCGCTTCTAAACACGCGTCGTAAAGGGCCTTGCTGGAGTTCAGCGTCGGTGCGCTAATGATCAGCTGATTGTCCTTCTCCGCCGATTGATTCCGAGGCCGCCATACTTGCTGTCAAACACCCGCACTCGACAATCCTTTGCCTCGTGACCTCTCTTGTGGCACTTGCTACACTCTAAGTTCTTCGTCTGGCAGGCATTAGTCCTGTGGCCTTTCTTGTGACACCTGAAGCATTCAACCGACTCATCACCTTGACGCTCCAAACTCTGATCCCATCCGCTTTTCCGTCGCGTCCCCGAGGTCACTCTCTCGCCAGCTGCCGCAGAATAAGCTCTTTCGTCGCCCTTCATGCTTAGTTTCTGGCTTGTCTTGCTCTTCGTCATCATCCACTGCAACAGGTCCTCTAGCAACAGGTCCTCTAGGTCCGCGAAATCATCGGCAACCCTGTTGAGTGGGATCTTGCTCTGCATCAATATGCTCATCCGCCAACACGCGCGCCCACACATCCTTCGAATGCGCTGCAAAAGGCAATACAGCTCTTCGTATAAGGTACAGCTCTCCCCCCCCCCCCCCTTCCGGAAAATTTCTCATTAGTCTTTTTAATGAAGTGTTCGCGTGGTGTGGAAGTTCTGAGCGGAGGCACGAATCATGCTCTGGCAAGGGTGATGCTGACAATGGACGTGAGTGGTAGGCAGGTGGATATGGTGAAGACCTTTGAGTCGTTGGCTCTGCCGGCCGACGCTGCCAAGTCCTCAAACGACCACCCTGCCAAACTGGTGGTTGACGCTTGTAGGATCCTCAAAGACATGCCGGATTTGATAATAGGGCTGAAGAACGTGAAGAACGTAAGGTACATTGACCTGTCCGCTGAGGAGTTGAGAGAAATACACGACGAATTTAATGCTAAGACGGACTTTTGTTGGAACGTGTTGATATGCCTACATGGATGCATGCATGCTTTCGCACAAGTAGCAAAACGGAAGACGTGCAAGTTGAAGGGTGAGCTGAAGGACCGTTTGAGTGATTGGATGGAGCGAGTGGCGACCGCTTACAATGGAGAGCCAGAATTAGATACTGTGACAAATGCTGCGCGAATTGAAGACCTCAAGTTCGGCTTGGCAGCTGTCGTCCGATGCGCCGTCAATAACGGGGACCGCACGTGCGGTGTTGCGTGGTACAGACCGGAGGTGCGCCCGGACCCAACCGACTGGCAACAGGCGGAAATCGCACTAGGTAAGGTCAGGGCTGTTAGGCGACTCACTGCAGCGCGTCGTCTCTCACTTGGTGTGTGGGAGGCGGGCCACGTGGTGCGGACCTATGAGGAGATGCGCACAGCAGATCGCCACTGAGTTGTCTGGATGGTGGAGCCCGACGTGCCAGTGCTGTGTTCCATCGCGGTCAGTTCAATATCAGTTCCCCAAAAAACCTTCCAGTTCACACCGGCTCGTCACTCGCGGGTCGGGGTAGCCACTTATGGTTGGTGCTACCATTGTAAGTAGTTACCTTTATCCCCTCTGTTTATTCCAAAAAAACTCTGGCGCGCGTGGACACAACACGCACACGACAAGAGCCGATGCTCGCCCACGACAGACCACCCACACCGTTCGTGTCTCTGCCGTCTTAGCCCGCCACATTGGGTGGACGGCACCTCGAGGTCAGCACCAGGACGCAAAAGGCGCACCTGGGCCCGAGGAGCGCGCAGCACAGTTCCTGTTGCCAATGTCTGGACCCAAGGAGGCGCTCCGCCCCAAGCTGCTCTCCAAGATTAATCCAAGATCAATTCACCGCCAGCGTGCGCGCGTGAAAAATATTGCCGCAGCTTGCTTTCCAAAGCGGGGTCATCCTAGATAATAATTCCACCACCCGCGATCTGAATTTCGAGAACCCATGCGGCCGGGAGAAGTCAGTTGTGACCCCAGTGGTCGCTTGGCCGTACCACCCGCCGTGGGAGTGACCGGCTGTTCAGGGGCCGTGGAGAACCTTTATTATTCTGGAACAGCCCATCATCACCGTAATATTTTTTTTAAGCATGCGGGGTGTATTGTCTGCGGAAGGCAGGTCTATGTTCGGCTTAGTCGGCCTTGTACCCCTGCCGGTCGCCCCACCTGGAGCGTGTGGAGTGCCGCCGTTCCCTGGATATGGATTACCCGCTCCCTCTGGGTCAGCTCCGTATGGTGCATATGGAGCGCTTCCGTATGGGTACGGGGCAGTTTCGCCTTCTGGGGTGGCACCACCCTCCGGGACAATTCCCCTTGGGTCTCCGTTGGGAGCATCCCCACCCATTAGCCCATCTTCAATTTCCGGGTATCTCCCGCCGGCGGGGGCGTCGCCAGCGGGGGCGTCGCCAGCGGGGGCGGGGCAGGAGTTGATTGGGGATGACATTCTGGGTGAGTTGAGCGGTGGTGGTCGAGAGGTATCGTTTGACAAAGAGATCGTGAGCCCATGGGGCAATGTCTATAACCCGATGACCACCAAGACGGAGGCGGATGAGTGGGAGAACATCGACCGCATTCTTGACTCACTTACTGCGGGCGGGCCGGGATTTGGCGGCCCCGCAGCGCATAGCCCCAGTGCCCAGGTAATTCTACCGGAGACTGCAGAGGACATACACCTGTCTCGGAAAATCCTGAGCAACTACGCAGAACAAGTGGAGAAGTCCTTACGGAACAGCTCATCGCCTCGGACGGCTGCATCCGCTGGCATTCAGATAGCACCGCCCCGAAACTTCAATCTGATCGATGAAGAACATGCGGCCACGTGACCCTATGATCAGATCCTATGATCAGATCCTATGATCAGATCCTATGATCAGATCCCATGATCAGGTGCGCAATTGAGGTGGTTATATGGGTCTTCGATGGCCGGCGGTTCGAAGACTGTTTTTTGGGGGTAGAAACTGTTGCCTTCCCGACACGTAGTACCCTCTACTTAGACGGAATTCAAGGGTAGATTTGGTTGTTGATTGGGTAGTGTGTCTGAATCACAGAAAATCGGTTCTAGCCAGATATTCTTGTCGGCAGTGCGAGACAAACATTCCCGCTTTGGAAGTTTCCCACCCGCACTTGAAGATCCTGGTGGCACCTACACCGCTGTCAGACAATATCATCATCATCATGGACGAACTCAGTCTTTATCCGCCGAGGCGCTGACTAGGGCTTAGAAGCACAGTGAACCGGCATATCAACCGTTATACTGGGCAGACTTGAGCACCTCGACGATCACCAAGAAGCAGGAGTCCCTGTGAGGTCCAGTCGAACACCGTCCAGCTTGCCGAACTGCGTTGGCTTTTTAAAAATGTTGGCTTCATTGGCTGCACAAGTAACACGTACACCAGAAGTTTCTAGATGACAGATGGAGCCACGATGCGAAAAGGCTGGCTCCCTGCAGCAACTCACTACGACAGGACTGCAACCCAACTGCCCCCGCACTCAATTTCTGTAAGAATAAAGGTACCAAGTGTCCGACCGGCAGGAATCTCAAGGAAGTAATTTGTTCTCGATTCCCTAGCTTGTTTCTCTATTACAGTCTTTGTCTGTACAAATTTCGGTGCTGCGCACACGCGTGTGCTTCGCCGCATGGACTGGTCAGGTGGAGCTCAGCGGCTCACCGCGTCCATTTTAGATGAGGAATTGGGCTCTCAGTGGCGAGAGTCGCCAACCACTTTGGATTTTTCAGGAAAAGCATTTTCGCTTACGAGTCTCATTGATCTGACCAGTGCTGTTCTCGGAAATCCTAATGAAATCAGTGAACATTTAAAGACCGAGGTTAGGCGCCTCTGAAAGACACGAATCATTATTACAGAATCTTCAAGAACTGAATGTTGCTCGAAATCGTATTGAAGACGTCGGCGATACATTCACTCGGGGTGTCGCCCAGATCGCTTTTCCCCGTTTGGGTTCCCTGAACCTTTCCGGAAATATGTTGACGTCTGTCGCTGTGGAGATCCCTGGGCTATATTCACTGGACGTTTCGCATAACCATCTGTCTCGTGTTCCTAGTCTTGATGGACTACCGAGTCTTCGAGTAAGATGTGCCCACAGTTTTCATTTTGCTTTCGCAGACGCTCCGCTTGAAAGCGAATCACATCGACAGTTTCCATCCGGGCGACATGTCGTCGATTCCCCATGCGGCTTTGACCCAGCTGGATTTGAGTCGGAATGAGATCAGCATACAGCCTTCGGGACTGGTTACCATAGCGGAAGCACTTCACCGAACGTTTCCTGCTTTGGCGGACCTGCGGTTGGCAAAGAACCCTGTGGTGAAGGGCTTTCCGGAGTATCAAGCCTTCGTGCTTCGAGCGATTCCGACGTTGACGGTTTTGGACGAGCTGGAACGTCGTGATGACACGTGGTACAAGGACGGCGAGAAGTGGGTGGATAGCGAGGAGATTGAAGAGTTTGACTTACACGAGGGCGGGTATTTGCAGGGCGGTTGGATATCCTTGTGGGGTGCTGGCTATTACGATCAGTATTATCAGAAGCGCTTGTTGCAGGGCTACAGCGACGACGTGGCTGAAGAGTCGATGGTAACGTTGATGTACGAGGAGTCTCGGGATTTGTCCGAGTATTTGCTGCAGTATTTGAAGGACGTCGGCCTCTCGGTGTCTGACCGGAGTAGTGCGTACGAGAAGTTCTACACTGCCTGTCACCGACTTTGTAGGATGGACCCGTCGGAGTTCACGGGTGACATGCGGGGTGTGTTGAAGGAGGTGGAGTTGTTTTGTTTGGCTGAGCAGCCGGCGTTGGTCGTCAAGGGTCTCGTGAAGCTGATGACGGTTCCGGATTACGCCGCAGACGTCTCGGCGACGTTGCGGGCGCTTTGCGACTTGTCTGTGCAGAGTGCGCGGCTGGTCAGTGCGTCGGTGAGCGAGATTGCGTTGCCGCTGTTGGACGAGTTGGAGGACCCGAATTACTTGTTGGAGGCGCTGGTTCCGTTGGCGAGTGAGGACTGGTTGGCTTTCTCGCTGAGTCGGTACGCGGAACGGTTGGTGCAGCTGGACTCTGCGTCCACGACGTCCTGCGCGGCACTGTTGCTGCTCTTTGCGTGCGAGCGGTCGCCGGAGACGGTGTTTGCGTTGGAGCGTTGTCGCGGTGACACGAAGGTCCAGCGGTTGGTGGCGTGGATGGCAAGCGAGCGCAAGTTCGAGCCGCGATTGGTGGACGTGTACGACGCGGCGCGTTGCTACAGCGGCGCCTTGGAGTTGGTGAACACGTTCCTGCTGCACCTGCGGATCAACAGTGTGTGCACGCGGGCGAACGTGCGCAGCGCAGAGCGTTTCTACGGGCTGCGGTTCCACGTGGACTTCCTCTTTCCGTGGCTGCGCGAGTCGCTGGCTACGACCGCGACGGGTGACCTGGGTCCGTGTCGCGCGCAGTTCCTCGCGGACGTGATCCGGAGTGCGGTTAGTTTGTCGGTCAAGTCGTCGGGTGCGCGGGAAGAGTTGTTGCGCAGTCTGCGCCTGGAGGACGTGTTGCTGCGGATTGTGCACGAAGACGTGCCGAACGTGCGTTGTCTGACGGCGGCGTTGGAGGGGTTGGCTGACTACCTCGCGCCGCTTATGGACAGCGAGGCGGCGGAGGCGCGCGAGACGGTGAACTATGTCTTGGCCAAGTTGTTTCTGGACGACGGATGTGCGCGGCTTCTCGCGCTGCTTTCGGAGGCGAACGTGGCGAACCTGTTGCCCTCCGTGGCGGCGGCCGCGGCGATGGACGAGGTCTGGCTGACGCGTGCGCCACGGCGGTTGCCGGATACGCCGGTCGCGCCGGAGTTGGCGCGTTTTGCGACATTGCGCCCCGCTGACCTGAAGGCGGTCTTCCGGGCGGCGTTGCGGTTGACGCTGACGTGCATCCGGCGGAGCCAGGCGGTGGAGCACGCGGCGGCGATGTTTGCTCAGTTCTCTCGTTCGGGCGGGCCGTTGGCGCTGTTGGACACCTGTGCGATTCCGGATGCCGGTGTGCGCGAGCACTCGCTGGAGTGTTTGTCGTTGGTCCCACTGGATGCGTTTGGGCGGCGCGAGTTGGACAAGTTGATTTCGTTGCACACGCGGTTCGGCGATGTGGACGGCGAGGACTTGGCTGCGTTGCGGCATTTGGAGTTTTACTTTGCCGTTTGGAACAAAGTGGTTGACGACGCGCTGGCTCCGGCGCCGCACGAGTGCGGGCGGCTGTGGGTGGCGGGCTACGCGGAGCCGCTGCTAGCGGCGTGTGTGAGTAAGTACCGGTTGTGCATTGAGAGCCGGGCCGCCCTCGAGTCGGCCGCGCGCGAGTGTCAGCGGTTGCGCGTGTGTGCGAACATCGCCACGCTCGTGCGGAAGACGGGTTACGTGCCGCGGTTGCGCGGGTTGGTCGCAGCACACGCGCCTGCGTTGGCGGGGTTGTTGCGCGCGGAGGACCACACAAGTCTGTTGGCCCGGCCTACGTTGCTGGAACGTTGCTGGGCGGGCCGCGACCTGGACGTGTTGGCAGAAACGTTGCTCGGAGGGCCGCGTCTCCCGCTAGCGAAGAAAATGGCCTTCCGCGTCTTGGCGCGGATGGCGGACGTTGCGCAGGGTGCAAAGGACGAATTGCTTCCGGACTGTTCGCTGCAGGAGTTGTGTGCAGCGGCTCTGGCGCCGTGGCCTCGTGCGGCGCCAGACGCGGCGCTGTTCCTGGACGGAGAGGAGGCTCGCTTGCGGACGGAGAGTATGCTACGTTTCGTGGGTCACGGCGGTCTGGCGCGAGTGCACGGGTACGTGGCGCAGTTGGCCACGGCCTTGAGCAGCCAGCAGTTGCGAGAGGAGCGGCGGCTGCAGTTGCACGTGGAGTATTGGGGCGGGCGTTTGAAGGGTCAGTTAGTGGATTTGGCGGCGTTGCAGGCGCGGGACGCGGCGGCGTACCGACGCGGGTTGGCGGCGCTGGGCGAGTTTCCCGAAATTCCGCGCAGTACGGACCCGCTGAGGTTGGTGGAGCAGTTGCCGCGCGAGTCTGTGGCGGCGGAGACGCCGCCGAACGTGTCGCGTCGGCGTTTTGCGGGGAAGTGGGTGGTTTGTCACTGGCTGCAGCGTTTCCATGCGGCGCGCGCGGCGGGGTTGCGACGGGAGGAGCCGGTGCGGGCGGTGCAACGTGTGAACCCGAGTGTGATTGCCAACGAGGCGAAAGCGGAGTTGCGGCGGGCGTACGCGGTGCACGAGTTTCTGCGGCTGCTGCAGGGACTGTTGACTTTGGCGCCGGCGCCGGCGGTGGCGCAGGCGGTGCGTACGTTTTACGGGGCGCACAACCTGCGGCAGTTGGTCGCGCTTGTGGACGGGGTGCAGCCGGACGCGGCACTGGTCG